AAGTGTAAAAACTGAATCTCTCTCGATCAAACGTAGATTTAAATGCAGCACTTTGATGAATTCATAAACATATGCAAATCATTATCATTCATGTTGCAGGTTTGAATTGATATCACAATCTTTCATTGTTCAATTGTACAGATTTACACTGAATTTATTAATGCAGGCTAAACAAACAGTGACAGAGAATACCTTTAATTAATACCCTAAGAAAGCATTTAGGTCCTACCACAACCTTTTTCTGTCACTATTATATTTTACAGGGAAGCCAAAATGCTTTCATACATGTGATTTGAATGGTAAAAAAGTTATTAATCCACAGGTCACGTGTGTTTCACCCCTAAAAACAACTAAGTTGTCCTAAAAACCCTCAAGAATTGTGTTCGTTTAGCTCATTTTAAATAAGTAGTTAAAACTATCTCAGTGTTTATTTACACAGTTTTAACATTGTTTTGCTGTTAGGTGAGGTACAGTAACTTAGGGTTTTATGGCATCTGTGGTAAATTGTCATTCATTGGTTTTCTTTTCGGCTTAGTCCCTTCATTAATCTGGGGTTGCCACAGCAGAATAAACCGCTAATTTATCCAGCATATGTTTTACTTTGGGCATCTGCGTAAAACATATACATACACACTCATTCACAAGGGAAACATCCATACAAACTCATTCACACATATACACTACAGACAATTTAGCTTACTCAATTTACCTGTACAGCATGTCTTGTGGGGGAACCTGCAGCACCCTGAGGAACCCAACACAAACACAGGGAGAACATGCAACTCCACACAGAAATGCCGACTGACCCAGCCGAGGCTCGAACCTGTGACCTCTTCGTATTTCATTCATGTCGGTTTGTTATTATAGACTGGGCCAATAAAACGGTATTGGTGTTTATTGACCGAACACTGTTGTCAATACCGATAATTAGTTTTATTAAAACGTGTCTGCTGAGTGTGCACCTCAGGGTTTTGTCATCGCCACTTCAGGTCAGAATAACACATGCAGAAATTAATGCTGTATAGCTGTAGTGAAGAGAGTGTAAATGAAAAAAGGATGTAAGCATGTAGCCAGAGTGGCTTTTTGCTTTCTTTTATTGTGCGTCCCAGCCACTAGCACTCCATCTGAAAGATTTTTTAGCATGGGGGGTGATGCAGTAATTTAACTTCACAATTTATAATGTTGCAATGTGTGTTTAAATAATATTTGGTTCCTTTACTTGAAAACACAGATTTTATAATCATAACTTGTTTTGTTGATAAAGTTTGAGATTTACTGTTTCAGTATTATTGAAATTTTACAGATGTTGATCAACCTTAAAGTTTGCCTTGATTGTTCAGTTCAGTTTTACCATTGTGGACACGCTTTGTAACATTTTATTTATCACGTTTAAGAGTCTCTTTAACATGTATGTTTATTTTATTATAAGAATTAAAGGATGGGGTTTTTTGACTATTAAAAAGATTTATCTTAGTAATGCTGGCAAATTAAAATAAAGTATTTAAATACATAAAAATACTAATATTCCTCACTGGATTTAAAAATAAATAAATAAATAAATAAATAAATAAATAAATAAATAAATAAATAAATAAATAAATAAATAAATAAATAAATCTCTAATTATCGATACAGAATGAAAAAAAAAAAACAGGGGTCAGGAACCTTTATTCAGCAAAGAGCCATTTCAGATTTTTTTTTTTTTAATTAAATGCATTTTTTTGAAGAGCCATATGGGGTGTGTATAACAAAACCTTTATATATTTTTACACAAAACCTTAATTTTTGTCCATGCACAACTCAAAAATAAACAAATATGACACATCACAATGTATGAAGAAAAGACAAATTACAGATTTTTTTTTCTTTTTGTCATCGAGGTTACCATAGAAATGTAAGAAATATAACTTGCCCTTTATTGTTGTTGCGATTCAAAGTAAACCACAACACCACATAAGTGCATTGGTTGAAACGTCCTTTTATTGTAAACCGAGTTCTTATTCAGTTTGCTGTAAAAAAATACAATATAAAATTAATTGTAATTGTATTTTCAAAAGGAAACTGATTTCCAGTAACAGTTATATTTAAAATAAAATTTAAATATAATTGAATAGAGACTGTCACTTAAATATATATATATATTTATATATATATATATATATATATATATATATATTTAGGTAAAGCATAGACTGTACAATCATTTCAGACATGACAACTCTCAGAGTTACCTTTTCAAACTAGTGTTTATTGAAATGGGTGTAAAATAAGAATAAGCTGTGGTGCATGTGATCTGCAATGTATTTCTACCCTATAATCTTTGAGAAAAACCTACAAACAAATTAAGTACAAGGTTTAATTGACCAAGTAAAAAGCAATTAAATAAGCAAATTACACTTCGAAATGGGAAAAAAAAAAAAAAAGAAAAAAAAAAAAAAATATATATATATATATATATATATATATATGTATTGCAAATATATTGTTTGAGCATCGGTGTTGCAATGTGTGTATCTGCAATAGTCACATCCCAGGATTATATTATTTATTAAATTTTGAAATACAAAGATAATATTTTTATTATTATTTATTCAATAAAGACCATGCTATTTTACATTTGTTTGTTCAATTTCTTTATTTGAAAAATGCTAGACTCCCCAGAAAACCATAAAGCACTGTTTATTTATTTACTTTTGCTTGTAATTTGTTATAATTTATGCTGATGTGCTTACAAAAAAAATTTGATCATCACAGTCGACCTAAATTAATTAAATCTTTTCAAATAAAGCTTCTCAAATCATCTGGTCAAATTTTATTCATTATGTATTGGGGCAAAATTAAATATCACAATGTCAGATTTTTCCAATATCATGCTAGAGATTGTGTTTAAGTTAGTCTGGAATACTTGATAATCTGCCCCATAATCATCATTTCTAATCACTTTTTTTTTCTTAGCAAGGCCATTGATATTCTGTGCTCATCTTGATCTTAGGCTTCGAGCATAACAACGAGATCCGCAGGATAAATGATCAAACAGGAGGACAGCTATTGTCCTTGAACTGCTTAATGGGCTACTAATAGCACTGAGTGTCAGGACTGATTTTACAAGAAGGTTCAGAAACAAACTTTCTGCTCTTTTTTTTTTTTTTTTTCCTTTACTGCACGGTCGTCTTCTACATATTCCCCAGCTTTCATTAGCAATTCAGGTCCTGGTGTTTGCATAATCACCTCGCCTCTGTCTTCCGCCAAGCCAATATGGAGAGACTCATTAGTGTCTTTTCAGACAGTAAAAGAAAGAGAGAAATACTGTCAGAATGAACTGATTTCCACAAGGAGGAGAGGAGGAGCACGGGTGGACTAGGATATGGATATTCTGAATTCTCGCTGCGAGATTCACAGGTTTAAAATAATAAAAACAATGGCTCTCGTTCACTAACAGTTCCAGCATAGGCTTAATGAAAAAATATGCCCTGGGCTGTTTGTGAGAATCAATGAATGTATGCTTGCGGGTACATATGGCTGCATTTTGTGTGTAAAACGAAGGCTGGATTTAATAATTGTGTATGTTTATCATAATAATACCAATATTAATAAACTTTCCACCTAATTCACAACGCGTGCATATGAAGATGAACTTGTTCTTTAACTTGTTCTTCTGTTTGGAGTCTTCACAAATGTATTATTTTGCATAATACACATTCCACAGCTCCATATAAGGGCTTTCCACAAAGCAACACTTGTCTACACAAAGACAAATATGCCACTGATATCAAAAGACAAAGACAATAAACATGAGGTTTTGCGTTTTCTAAAGACACATTTTCTCCTTAGAGTACATAAGTCAAGTCATATTGGCTTTATTGTTATTTCAGCAATATATAAGTACACAGAGGAACAAACAAACGTTCCTCCAAGACAAAGGTGCCACATCAAACAACCTAAATTGACAACAGCAAGAAGGTCGCAGGTTTGAGCACGGGCTGAGTCAGTTGGCATTTCTGTGTGGAGTTTGCATGTTCTCCTCATGTTGGCGTAGGTTTCCTCCAGGTGCTCCCAGGTTTCCCCCACAGTCCAAAGACATACACTATAGATTAATTAAATATTCTAAATTGGCCATAGAGTATGTGTATGGGTGTTTCCCAATACTGGTTTGTGGCTGGAAGGGCATCCGCTGTGTAAAACATATGCTCATTCCACTGTTCCTTCCGGCAACCCCTGATAAATAAAGGGACTAAGCTGAAGGGAAAATGAATAAATGAATGAATGAATGATCAAATAAATAAATGAATAAATAAATAAATAAATAAATAAATAAATAAATAAATAAATAAATAAATAAATAAATAAATAAATAAAACACAAATAAATAAATAAAACAAAGAAACAAAGAAACAAACAAACAAACAAACAAACACATAAATAAATAAATAAATAAATAAATAAATAAATAAATAAATAAATAAATAAATAAATAAATAAATAAATAAACATGCTTTTTAAAGCCTTGGGCATACAGAATTGTTTTGTAAGTGTGCTATAATTTGTTCTTGAGTTTGTTTTTGTACATTTAAAATACGTTTATTATGTTTGTTTGTTATGTTTACGCATGTTTAGTGAATAAGACTCAGTGTCTGTTGTCATAGAAAAGCACATAAGAGCATGGCGAGATGAAAAAAGCAAAGCTTCATATTTTCCATGTTGAGCTTTGTACATATTACATGATATTGATTGTGCAAAAGTTTCATTGTGGCTTCGGCCCAGACTTGTGCTGGAAGCACATGAAACCCGAGCCCTAGAGATTACGGGTAAAGCCGTGAAACACAGAGCTTGCGGTAATAACATAGTATGTTGGTTTTCACATCCATAAGGGTGTTCTGTTTGGCTTCTTCGCTAAACTATTGATTGCATGTTTGTTTCATCTCCTTCCTAATTATGCCGCTTTTTAGCTCCCTCTGTTTCATCTCTGATATTTAATTCATTTGTTTTGTGCTTTCTTCCAGATTTAAAAGCCAGACCCTAACAAGAAGGCTCTTTAGTCGAACGAAAAAACAACATGGCCAAGGGGAAGATCTCTTCTCCATGTGGTAAGCACCTGTCTGATTTCCTTTATATTTGATGGCCGCACGCCATATTGTTTAGGACACAAAAAATGAGAGCAACATGCAAAACGCATTCTGAAAGCATCAATCCTCAGCAACAAACAAACTAATCAATCTATATTTAACCACATTTCCATTTTACCGAGCTTTTAAGGTCTCCGCAGACGGCGGTTTAGAGATGTATAGTCGCCGTCTAACCCCTTCACACGCATGCATAAATATACAGACGCACGCACACACTCATTACTGTATGACACAGAGTTGATATAGATTTATTTTTCCGAAAGCCGAGGAAAGCAGGGGGTTGATTGAGCAGCGGTGTAATAATGCTGGTACAGTGGAAGTGAAGAATCATGCATCAAAGAGCTTGCCATCTGTAGGAGGGCCGGAGTCCCTCAGGATGCATTAGGTCTCTGTAATGGGTTCGCCAAGGTGCTGTAATAATGGACGGATTCTAGGAACAAAGTTATTGATTATCACACAAGCAGGGCTATGCGAAATTCATAACTGAGGAATCGACTCACTTAGTTCATTTGTATGAATGTCAATTAAATTGCGCACACCTCCTTATGGGGTGTTGGATTGGAATGAATGCATTGGAATTTAATAAAAGTCATTGAAGGTAGGTTTTAATATAAGAATAGTTGTTAACACTTTGAGTAACAGTTCTCGCTATTAACTGCTGGATTATTAGCTGACATTATTAAGATGTTGGCTGTTTATTAATTGTTCGTCCATTCCGATCTATAAGATTTTATTTTATTTTTTAAATAAATTTCTTTATATTTTTTATTTATTTATGATATTATTATTATTATTATTATTATTATTATTATTGTTGTTGTTGTTGTTGTTGTTGTTGTTGTTGTTGTTATTATTATTATTATTATTATTATTATTATTATTATTATTATTAATAATAATATTGTTGTTGTTGTTGTTGTTGTTGTTGTTGTTGTTGTTGTTGTTGTTGTCGTTGTTGTTGTTGTTGTCTATTATTTTTATTTCTAATATTATTATTGTTGTTGTTGTTGTTGTTGTTGTTTTTGTTGTTGTTGTTGTTGATATTATTTTATTATTATTATTATTATTATTATTATTATTATTATTATTATTATTATTATTATTATTATTATTATTGTTGTTGTTATTATTAGTGTGTTAATTGTAGTGTGTTTTGTCCTTTATTCCTCCGTTCCTTCATTCATTCAAAAAATATTTTCGTTTTAGTTAATAAATTGAAATTAATATTGTCTTTTCACAATTAAAACCAATATCACAATTATACTATAATATACCAGAGGTCACTGCAAAAACTAAAGTATTCGGTACTACAGCATTATTACCGTATTTATCAGTTTTCTATAGTTATAGCCGTAGCATACATTAACAAAGAGTTGTAAATATTTTAATATATACAGTACAGTATATTATACCCTTTACACGGTTCAACAACACTATAGTACTACTTATAAATTTCCATAGTATTTTTTATGTAGGCTGACAGGTTCTGCTCTCTTTCTCTCTTTCTTGGCTGTTGCTTTGGTGATGAGGGATTGAGACGGTCTGGACAGTGTATGCATACATACATACATGACTAATGTAAAAACACATACAGTTGAAGTCAAAATTATCAGCTCTTTAGTTGCTTATGTATTTGTTTTTCTTTTTCTTTTTTTACGCTATTTACTATAATATTTTTTTTCTTCTGGAGAAAGTCTCACTTGTATTCTATTTATAACCATTTTAAGGTCAATATTATTAGCCCCCTTAAGCAATTGTTTTGATTATCTACAGAATAAACCATCGTTACATAATGACTTGCCTAATTACCCTTGCCTACTTAACCTAGTCAAGCCTTTAAATGTAATTTGAACGATATCTAGTAAAATATAATTGACTGTTATCATGGCAAATATAAAATAAATTAGTTATTAGAAATTAGGTATTAAAACTATTTTGTTGAGGAATGTGTTAAAAAAATTCTATTAAACAGAAATTGAGGGAAAAAAATATGGGGGGTTACTAATTTAGGAGGGCTAATAATTCTGACTTCAATTGCATAATTCATGACAATTCTAGAGAACAAAAGCCGAATCCTGGAGATTTTTGGATGTTTCGAAATTCTTTTTTTGTGCAAAAAAAGAAGACGTGTTTGGAGAAAAGAGGGTGTATGGTCACCTACTAACAATAACTAAAGGAATCATATCTAAAAGTGTTACCAAATTTCTGAGTTACTCCTTTCCTTGCAACATGTTTTTCTCATCATGCATAAATAATGGTAAGACAGTTGTTGACATAAAGAAATGATGAAAACAATCAAGCTGTATAAACACATCATCACAGCCATATGTCACAGATCATAATGCAGATGTTGGGGCTCATCGACAGTGCGCGACTCTAACAAAGAAGTTGGAAAATGTGTTGTATGTTACTAGACAGTAGCTGTTGCTGTGTGAAACCTGTAGCGTAATTAACAGTAAATGCCTTCAGCTGTTGCTTCTCAGAGTTGGACATCAGCAGCATAAGAAATGTTTTTATAGTTTATCTTAAGACATCTGTCTTGCTTGCGTAGTAACGAGAGTAAAGAAATCATCTTAATAGCAGTTATAGCAGTTAAAGCAGTTATAGCAACAGGCACTGCTTCATTTAGACTGTATCATTTTTAAGTGAATGCAATAATAATAATAATAATAATAATAATAATAATAATAATAATAATAATAATAATAATAATAATAATATTGTTGTTGTTGTTTAGAATATTATTTAGGTTAAATATTATCTG